ACACACACACACACACGCACCTGCCGATCGAGCTGAGCTATCCGGCCTTCGGCGGGGAGGTCGCCGGTACTGGTAAAGAGGATGCCATCGGCCGCGGCGATGTCAGCCGACTCGGTGGCAAGGGTGTCGATCAGCTCGGCAACATGTCCCGGCGCGGTGGCCATCCCCCCCTGGGTGTCCTGGTCAAGGGCGATCGGGGCGACCGACAGGGATGGAGCCGATGGCGAGCCGGCAGCCATCTGGGGCTGGAGCAGGCCGGCCGCCGGGTCGGCATCGGCCAGCGAGTCGTCGAAAAGGCTGGAATTCCGTTGGAGTTCGGCCCGGGCGGTGGACAGGCGCTCTGCGAAGACCGATACGACGTGGCTGTCAAAGAGGCGATCAATGACCATGCTGGTTCCGGGACAGAGAGGGAGCGAGGGAGGCGGGAGAGAGAGAGAGAGAGGGGGGGTCGAGCACTGTGTCAGCGAGGCCAGCTGGCCGGGGCACGGGGGCAAGGCGGATGTGGGCGAGGCCCGCGCGCACGGGGGAACGGAGGCCGGAAAGAAGTCGAGGAACCGGCCCCGGGGCTCCGGGGCGGTGGCCGCTGCAGCGGGACGCGCAAGAAATTGCACGATCAACTCCTCGGGACCCGAAAGCAGGAGGTCGGCCGAGAGGTGGCCCCCGGGGGCAAAGTCGGTCGACAGGAAGGGATCAGCCGCTGGGTCCATCGCCATGGGGGAGGGCACGGATTCGGGGCCAGCCAAGTTTGGCAGTTCACGAATGGGAATCGAGCTCGAGACGGGAGCCGGCACCGGCGCCGGGGCAGAGGACCGAGGCGTGATCGGGGACATGTCAAGGCGGCTGGAAAGGGCAGCACCCGCATGAGGGGCAACGGCGACAGGGGCGGCGGTCACAGCGGCAGCGGCAGCGGCAGCAGAAGCCATTGCCATGATCCCAGCCGACGTGGCGGTTCCGGCCATGGGTGCGGCTGTAGCTGTGGTGCTGGGGACGGTGGAAGAGGTGGCGGCCGCCGCAACAGTGGCCAAAGAAGCCGTAGAGGAGGGAGCGGCAGCAGCGACGGCAGTGGAAGTGGCGGCGGTGATGACGCGGGGCCCGGCATTCACACCACCAAGCATGGGAGGAGTTGCCACGTGTGGGCCGTCAAACAACGACCGGCCGGCTGGCGGTTGGCTCGCAGCCGGCAGCGAGTCCTCATCGTCGGAATCCGCCAGCAGCAGGTGGCTCTCGGCCGGATCCAGGACCGGGGATGCCGGCACCGCGGGCGGAGTGGAGGGCGCCCTCCCGGCCACGGGGGAGAATTGCCGAGACAGGCCGGCCAGCCGTCGGGGGCTGTTGCTCGGCGAAGGGGGCCCGCCATCCGGGGGGAGGGGGTGGATCGGCCGGAGGCTGATCCGACGTCGAGGAGACCCGGGGACTGTCTCGGCGCCGGGGCTGGCTGGGACCCGCGGGCGTTTGGCCCGCGGCTGGCCGACCGTCGGACTGGAGCCCGGCAGCGGCTCGAAGGTCTGATCGAGAGGGATGTCGGAAAAGGCATCGCGCGTCAGGCGTCGGCCGATTGGCGACCGCGAGGGGCTGACATTGCCGCGAGAGAGGGCACGCGCACGCGGCGACCCCGGCGCGTCGGAATCCATTTTACCGTCCTCCCCTCGCCTGGCCTGTGTCCACGCCCGGCAAAGGCGGCAGGTGAGTGGGGCCGGGGCGAAGGAGGCGGCGGGGGAGGGAGGCGGGGGGGGGGGGGGGGGGGGGGGGGGGGGGGGGGGGAGGGGGGTGCGAGTGGCCATCGGAGACATGAGGGAGGCGCAGCATCAGAGCAAAGCTAACCAACATCATCGGGGTGACCTTCGAGCGGCCCAGAGAGTGCTCGCCGTAGGCAAGGAAGAGCACCGCCTGGATTGGATAAACCTCGTCATTGGGGTCGTGGAACTGCGCGAAGTACGGGTCGTGCGAGCGTCCCGGGGCCGGGAGCATCAGCCGGG